AATATAGGTGACAGTGGTGCAGCTGGGACAATACATGAGGCCACTGATGGTGTGAACAAGATCTAACTCTAATGCACAATCAGACTTAGTGGAGCCCATTCTAAATGGAGAGAGAACCTGCCCAGCCTAGACACAGGGGAGCCAGGAGGTGGGGAGGCACCTTGGTCAGCCTCAAAGAGATGATGGACAGAATTAGTAGATTCCTAGGAAAGGACTTATGCTCTACAAGGAGCAGATGGGAGGTGGGGGGAGTGGGAGAAGGGAAGGGAGAGGAGGGAGGAGAAAATGGAATTTGAATATAAAATTAATTAATTAAAGAATAATAATATGTAAAATGTTAAGAAATAAATGAATGGAAAAAAGCAAAAAAAAAAAAAACATATACAGGAGCAGAAGATTTCGGGGCATTGGTCTAGAAAGTGGAGGTGGGGTCATGCCATTGTGTGTGTCCTGTGAACCCTGTGGTCCCCAAACTGTCTTACCTCAGACACACACTATAGCAAATGAGACACAGTGATGGCTGTGTTGTAATGAGGAAATGCAGTGGTATCCACCCTCCTCTTTTATAAGGACAAGGCTGACTCCCCACATGCAAATGCATCTTCTAGTTCTAAGTTAAATCCCCTCCTGGGCTTTGGGAGCTCACATCTCTCTCACAGGAGGCTGACCTCTGAGAAAAGGAGGTGTAGCCTAGAAGATGAGACTGTTGGGTCTTCTGTGCCTGGTGACAGCCCTTCCTGGTGAGTGTGACCATTTCATACATGTGTTCATGAGGGGATGTGACAACATGTGATTGACAGAATTGACTCTTCCTGTCTGCAGGAGTCCTGTCCCAGCTCCAGCTTCAGGAGTCAGGACCTGGCCTGGTGAAGCCCTCACAGTCGCTGTCCCTCACTTGCTCTGTCACTGGTTACTCCATCACCACCTATGGTTACTCATGGAACTGGATCAGGCAGTTCCCAGGGAAGAAGCTGGAATGGATGGGGAACATAGGTTATGGTGGTGGCACTGGCTACAACCCATCCCTCAAGAGCCGCATCTCCATCACCAGAGACACAGCTAAGAACCAGTTCTTCCTGCAGCTGAAATCTGTGACCACTGAGGACGCAGCCGCATATTACTGTGCAAGAAACACAGTGAGGGGACTTCAGCATGAGCCCAGACAAAAACCTCCCTGCAGAGGAGCTCTCGGCCAGCAGGGGGCGCGCAGCACTCACGAAGCCCAGGAACTCTAAGACTTCAGAGCAGGGAAATAAAAACATTTGGTTTTCTTTTGACTTTGCTTTCACCTCCCTAAGCACAGAGAACACAGAAGGTGTTTTCTCTCCCTGATTCTGAGACGCTGTGCCTTTGTAAAACAAACATTTGTTTGTTTCTCACTGTGAGTCTGGACACAGTGTGCGCAGTAGCATTTCTTATCCCTTTTTGGTTCTGGCATTTGCCAGCTGAGCCATCTCTGTGGTTTGAAGATTTTTTTTTAATGAAACCATCGTTTTGAAAGGCAGCTTACCTTGGCATTGCTGTAGTTGTCCCATTAAAAGAGTCAATTCTATCTTCGATTCTCCATTCCTTCCCTCTCTAATACATCTGCATGCCATAGCACTTCCTAGAGTACTGACAGGAAGCAGTTGCTCCTGTGGCTAAGGAATGTGCCACAGACTGGGGCCAAACATCACTGCAGCTGTATTACCACCCATAAGAGAGGGCAGGAATTTCCTGAGGTCAAATGAGCATGGTTGAAGTACAAAGACTCTGTTGTGACTTTGAAACTCAAGCCCAATGTTGGGATTTATTGTACAAACATTACTTAAATTTGCATTGTGATTAAAAGCATCACATTAAACAAATCCTCATGTGTTTATACTGATAGTTACTATTTTTTTAAAAAATGTGTCATGGGCACACAGGTACCATACTATGGACTAGTGGAGACCCAGTTTGTGATTGGGAAGTAAAATACTCCAGCATGAGCATGGGTAGGGACACCTCCATTGGCCAAGTTTTCTGAATTAATCACCTGCCATGACTTACCTTGCCAGACAAATGGGAGGAGAATTTAGTGTGAACTCAGACACAAACCTCCCTACACAGCAGCTTGGGAGCAACACAGGCCGTTAAGAATGGCTGAGGCTGCTCAGAAATACTAGATGGTCCCCAGTTCTGAACTGACACCATGGGCTTCCTTTTAAACAAGTGCATGTCTGCTCACATTTTAGAACGTGTGATTTCCTCTTCCTGCTCAAATACTCTTCTACAGACCCTTGGCCCTGTCATATTCCACCACAGTTACCACCTGTTTCCATTCTCCTAAACAAACCATTATTTCCAGAGGGCACTAAGGTTTCTGTTTGCCACTTGTTGTCAGACGGAATAAAAACAAAAATGAAAAATTTCCTCGATTTTCCAATTTGCCTGGGCAACAATGGAGCCATTAATCACCAGGATAGATATCAGATGAGGTTGGAGGGAACTCCAGAGCCTCTGTGGGCACCCATCTTAAAGTCTGGTAGCTGAACAACACCTGCTAGGAAAAGTCAACAATAGCTCAACAAACAAAAACACCTTTCAAAATTCAGTGATGTAGCTAACAGCACGCCAAATACTTTGGTGGAAGATTTTTCCATAGATTTGTGCGGAGTCTCTTCATCTTTCCTCTTAATTTAAATACTATGTAATCATTTATAGGTAAGGCTAATCCTGTATTGCTTTTGTTGGTAGCAATCAAATTTCCTATCATTTGAGAGAGATTAGGACAGAGCCAAAT